GTGTTTTCACCCAACTGCGCTTTTTCTTATAAAAATTCGCATCTTCCAAACCAATGCAAATAGCGACGTGAAATTTCCACCAGCTTTATAAGACACTTGACTCTAAACATGCTGAAAGTTTCACAAAAATCGTCTAGATATCCGATTTTTGCCAGCGGATGTTTTCACCACGCAACGCGCCTTCTCTGAAAACCCAAAACCAATCACGTACTTGTTCGACCAACAGGGAAAAGGTCAGCTCGTTCTTCGTCATGTTGGACATAGTGGGTTCCGGCGGGATAACATTGCCTTCCACAATCAGTCCTTTGGGCGTTCGCAGCATAACGTTCCACACTTCGTTGTAGAAAGTGTACGGCACGCGGCACAAACAGCCCTCCAGCTGCCGCTTTTGCAGCGGCGTTAACCTGCAACCAACCCACAAGTTGCAGGGTTCAACACTGCAACGCATCGCAGCCATTTACCGCGCGTTTTCCTGCGGATCCCAATCCTTGATCGATAAAATCTTGTAAACCAGCGAACGAATTTCAAAGGGACTGTGATCCTCTAGGCGCTTTTGGTTGCCCACGATCGCCAGGTAGTATTTCATTGCTTCCAACACCCAGCCGACGCGAATCTTTAAAATACCTAGAAAACCCACAACAGTGCAAAACTTTCTATTTGAAAGGAATATTAACGTGTCAAGCCAACATACTGTATCCGTGAAAGTCTGCGAGAGAAAACCAGGATTTATCCAGGGAAGTTGCAAATGCTTGTCTTACCTCTGAAGAGTTCGGGGTTGGTGGAAATCAACCGGCCACAATAAAGGGTGACTTCCTGCTGAAGAACCGCCTGGATCACATCGTAGGGCTGGATGGTGCTGTAGACGACCGATTGGATTTCGGCCGGAGTCATCGGCTTGTCGAAAACCGTCTCCTTTTGCCCGATCACTCCCATGGTCAACTGAAACGATTGGGCTCGAGCAAACTTAACATAAAATCTTGCACACTTCCATACCTGCTTCCCATGCACTAAAACGGCAGTAATAAAGGGGCTGATTGAGTCTACAGTGTGGTGCAGCAAACTGCTAACGTATCTCACGGCCGCCCAATGCCTCAAGCAGCCAGCACGGTGATAAAGTCCTGCCAATCAACGTTCCTTTACTATCAAAAGTTCAGTCTTTGCAACTCCTTACCCAACAAAGAGCTCTCGATAGTTGAGTCCCCAATTCTGAAGTGCTTGCCTTCCCTCTTCAGGAGAAAGCCATAGAGCTGCGCTCGGGTATAAAGACTCTCTTGGCCTTTCAGCATCTCGATTATCTCGTTAGTTGGACTAATTTTCCACTCCTAAAGAGTACAAAGAGCTCTAAAAACTCAGCCACCAAAAACAACTGGTTTAGTTACTGAAACGTCCTTTAGTTCGTCGTTATAATTCAGGACTCTGGGCACGTCCGTCAAGCTCTGATAACCGATGTAATCGTGCTCCAGCTGCTGGAAGTGCTTGAAGTCTTTGTTGGCTTCCTCCAGCGCGTTCATGAAGTCCAAATGTTCTGCAACCCCAATGGAAAATGAGCTTCAAGCCAAAAAAATTGCTCTACTCTTACCCACACAGGAGCTGGAAATGAGATTCTGCAGCCGCCCAATTCGGACCTTCACGTTGTCGCAGTAGCCCTTCTTGAGCATGGCTAGTAAATCGAGCATTTGCTTGAATTGCGGATCCCTCATGTGCTCCTCTCTGATGAGTAGGCAAACGGTGGGCCTGCCCGATAAACGCCAGTACCTGCAAAACCCTGTTAAACCCTCCACTGTCCTCAGTGTCTTTCCATCCGGTTTACCTGCCGACAAACTGCAGCTCAGTCTTAATGTCGTCAATCAGCAAAGCCATGTCTCTGTACAAGTAGAAGTCTGATACTTCAAAGATCAGCGGGTAGCACAGAATCGTCTGGCCGCAGATTCTGTAAAGCTTGCTGGTTCCTGAAAGGATCAGAAATGTACGTAAAGTGGCAGGCAACGGGTTTCAGGGCCCACCTAAACTTCCAATGGGCCGCTCAGGCCTTCCATGGAGCTTCAGCTTCTTGTTAACGCCCAGGTTTTGATAGACATTCACCAGCTGAGTGGATGACCAGATCTGCACGGGCTCGACTTCATGGGGCGTTTGAGTCTGGATGCCATAAGTGGCCATCATCGCCTGAAGCCGCATGGATTCGGCTATGAGGACGATCTGCACTACTAAATCCGTTGCCGTTCCCTAACAATGGAAGAAGTTGCGTCTGAGAGAGTTTCGCGGAAAAACGCAAAAACGGGGCATGCTTCCTCGACTTGGGACGATTTTTAGAGAAAACTGGGCGTGCAGACGAGCGACTACGTTATCGATGTTTTTCAAGCTTTACAGGGCCCAATATTTTATATTTTCGCTTCTATTCCGTTGGCTGTGGACCGGTGTTAAAATTTATGTTTTACCCAACTGCTCTCTAACTTTTAAAAAATCGCACCTTTCAAACTAAAACAAGTAGCGTCTTGAAAATTTCACCATCTTTAGAAGACATTTGACTCTATAGATGCTGATAGTTTTATCAAAATCGCCCAGAATCCTGATTTTTACCAGCTTCGTTACTTCGGTCTCAAAATGGATGTTTCCCCCAACCGCGCTTTCTCCTTTAACAATTCGCACGTTCCGAACGAACGCAAGTAGCAACTTGAAATTTTTACAATCTTTAGAAGACACTTGACTAAAAGTAATAAAAATTTGATGAAAAGTTCCTCATTTTCTAATTTTTAACAGCTGGGTAAATGTGGGCCTCGAAATAGAAGCTTAAAAATTCGCATCTTCCAAACTACTGCAAGTAGCGACTTGAAATTTCCACCATGTTTATAAGTCACTTGACTCTAAAACTGCTGAAAGTTTGGTCGAAAAATTGAAGAAATTCCCAATTTTGCCAGCTTAGAAAAAGTCGGTCTCAAAATCGATGTTTTCACCCAACTGCGCTTTTTCTTTTAAAAATTCGCATCTTCCAAACTACTGCAAGTAGCGCCTTGAAATTTTCACCATGTTTATAAGACACTTGACTCTAAAACTGCTGAAAGTTTGGTTGAAAAACTGAAAAAATTACCAATTTTGCCAGCTTAGCAAAAGTCGGTCGCAAAATCGACGTTTTCACCCAACTGCGCTTTTTCTTTTAAAAATTCGCATCTTCCAAACTAATGCAAGTAGCGACTTGAAATTTCCACCATGTTTATAAAACACTTGTCTCTAAAAGTGCTGAAAGTTTG